TTCCAGGCTCTGCTTCCTGTCTGCCATGAGCAGGTTCCCTCTATGGCCTTTACACCATACTGCATCTGCATTTGAGCCTACCTAACCTGGACTTCTAAAAACTGTGAGCACCTCCTCCTTTTAAGTTGTAGGTGTCCCAGTGACAATGAAACTAAGACAATGTAAAACCAATTCAATGGAAGATAGCTTTTCCACAAATGGTGCAGGAGCAGTTAGATGTCCTTAGGCCAAAAGAAAAGAAATGAATCTCAACTCCCTCCTATGACCCCTCCGGCCTTTTCTTAAAAGCTAGGGTCTCACTGTGTAGTTTAAGCTGGCCTTGAACTCACTATGTAGCCCAGGCTGGCCTCGAACTCACTATGTAGCCCATACTGGCCTCAAACTCACAGTGATCTTCCTGCCTCAGCCTCCCAGTTGAGATTACAGGTGTACATCACCATACCCAGCCCAATACCTCATTAGAAAAGTCATCCTAAAGTTGGAGATGATGTTGCTCAGTGGTTGAGTACCTGCTTCACATGTACAAGGCCCTAGGTTCCATCTCCAGCAGGGCCAAAAAAAAGCATCATAGATAAACACAGATAAAACAGAGTGAAGAAGGAAACTGGCAGGCTACATATCAGGTGTCATTGTGCAAAGGACAAGAGAAACTACAATGGGGTGAGATCGGGAACGCAGTTTCATACTTCTTGGTTTGGTTTCCGCCAGATTCCATGCAATATTCCGCTTTACTATGCCTTCTTCACTGGTTCCTCCACATCTCCTTGGCCCCTTCATTTTGGACGTCCGTGGCCACCCACTGGCCATCTTTCTATCTGCCTCCCTCCAAAGAGGACTTCATCCTAGGGATGCTTTTTGTATATTTATCTGCAGGTGACTCCCAAATTCACATCTCCTGCTCAACCCCTCCTCCTGCACATCCCATGCTCAACATCTCCAGTGAAATGTTTACCTGGCATCTCAGGTCCCAAACCAGCACTTGCCTCTTCCCCAAACTTGCCCATCCCTCAACTTCCTTGGTTGGTCAATGGAAACCTTGCAATACATTAGAATTTCTCTTGTTTGCACCTTCTCCCTAGTCTTAAAAAGAATGTTCCCTTCTCACAGCCTCTACTACCACCTGCACTCTGGTCCCAGCCTGCTCACCCCTCACAGGGATGACTCTGGAGGGTCCTGACTTCTCACCAGCCAATGATTCTTTGGAGATGCGGCCAGTGTTCATAACAGTATTATTCATAACAACCAAAAAGTGGAAAGAAATTTAATGATTACCAGCTGATGAATGGAGATAGAAATTGTGATATATCCATACAGTAGAATATTATTCAAGCATGAAAAAGAATTTAGTACTCTACATGTTACAGTATGACCAAACCATGAGCACACTGAAAGTGAAAGAAGTCCAACACAAAAGGCCATGTTTTGGTTTTTTGTTTCTTTGTTTTTTTGTTTTTTTCCAGTACTGGGAATTGAACTCACAACCTAGCACTTGCTAGGCAGGTGCTGTGCTGCTGAGCTAAGTCCCCGGCCCCAAGGCCATGTTTTTTATGGTTCCACTACTATAAAATATCCAGAGTGGTCAAATCCTTAGAGACAGAAAATAGATTAGTATTTTCCCAAAGACTGGAGATAGGGAATGATTGCTAATAGGCATCTAGTTTGGGCCTGGCACAATGAAAATGTTTTGAAATTATGTGGCAGTGATGATGTTTGTACAGTCTTGTTATTATATACAGCTAAGTTAGATAGAAATTAACAGATGGTCAGAGAGGGACCTTGCCCTCAAAGGAGTCAGTGCAGAAGATGAGACACACCAAGACTGAGGCTGGAGACAAAGTGTAAGAGAGCCAGACTTGCAGCCTGCCTACAGATAGAAAACAGCAGCTTCAGACTGTACTGTAATGAGCACCAGGTCCAGTGAGCCTAGGTAAGGCATCAGATGCATAGATGGGTGAACAGACGGCTCTGACCCAGACTCTTATCCCTTCTCCAAAATGCCTTTTTTAAGTCCATTCCTCAGTTGATAGGCATTTGGGTTGTTTCCACGATTTAGCCATTACAAATTGCACTGCTATAAACATGGGTGCACATATATCACAGTGACATGATGTTTTCAGTTCTTCTGGAAAAATATACCCAAAAGGGAAATAGCTGGGTTGAATGGGTCCTCTCATCCTAGTTTATTAAGGAATCTCCAGACTGATTTCGAGTCTGGAAATTCTCCAGACTGATTATACCAGTCTACACTCCCACCAACAGTGGAGAAGAGTTCTTTTTTCCCCACAGCTTCTCTAGCATTTGTTACTGGTTGATTTCCTGATGACAGCCATTCTTTCTGGGGTGAGATGGAATCTCGGTGTTGTTTTAATTTGCATTTCTCAAATGATTAATGATGTTGAGCATTTTTTCATGTATTTATCTGCCATTTGTATTTCTTTATCTGAGAAGTGTGTGTTCATCTCAGATGCCCATTTTTGTATTGGGTCTTTGAATTTGGGGGAGTTGATTTTTTTAAAAAAGTTGTCGTATTTTTATATAATGGAATATTACTCAGCTATAAAGAAAGATAAACTCGAGAATTTTATAAGTAAATGGACACAACTAGAGACCATACTTATAAGTGAAATAAATCAGACCCGCATGTGTAAACACTGTATTGTCTCACTAATGTAAGAACCTGAGTGAATAAAATCTCTTAGGAAAAGGGAAAGAAACTGCTCAAAAAGAAAGAACAACTGAGATGAGGAAAAAGAAAAAAGAAAGTAAGAAGGAGGAAAAAAATGTACATATGTATATACAGGATAGCTAAGGCAAGTGTACTATTGATTTCTATTGCTTTATTGAAAGAAATAGTTAATGTTTACTTGTTTGATCAATCTCACATGCCTATATTTATCTGAGTAATCAATTTGAAGATATCAATATGTAATACAACAACCACTGTTAATTTCCTATCACCTTGTCTGAAATTCTGTTACTTGTATTGTTTTTGTGTTATTTGGTAAATGTCCGTGTCTGTTAATATGTTTTCGTTCTTTTACCTTTAAAATTAAAAAATGCCTTTGATCTTTCTACTAGAAGCTTTAGATAAGCTAAAGTTAGTAATGCACCATATACCTTTGCTATATGACTCACTTCTTTATTGGGTCAATATTAGCTAAGCTACTGTAACCCCATAGGTTGGCCTCAGCTGGCCCAGTGTGGTTGAGCTGTAGCCGTTTTTGTGTATAAAAACTTCCAAAGAGCCTCAATGGCAACCCATTTTCAGGCCCCCTCCTGTCTTTCAGGAGCTTTACCTCAATAAATTTTTTCTACTCTTAACCTATTTTGTCCTCATATTCATTCTTCAGTTATACAGAGACACAAATTCCACAGTACACTTCCAATATGTTTGTAAATGTTGATATATAACATTTATTATTAACATGTAATTTGCATTTTTGGAAGACGGGGTCTCGCTATGTAGTTCAGGTCGGCCTTGGACTCACTATGTAGCCCAAGCAGGTCTGGAATTCGCAGCCATCCTCCTGCCTCAGAGGTGCGCCACTACGCCCCGCAACATATGTGACTTAACGAAACCCTGCAACGACAGAAACTATGCTGGCTCCCAGCCACGCCCCAGCCCTCCATACAGCAGGGCTGCACCGTCCTTCGCAAAGATGCCAGTTCCACGCAGACCAAGGCAACGTACTAACTCCTAACACCCCAGGTTCGCGCTAGGCAAAAAGACTCGCGAAGCGCAGGCGTAGAGGTAGCCGCGAACTGGGTTGAACCAGCCCGGGCGGAAGCGGCTACTGTTGGGCTCAAAGAGTATGCGCAGGTCTCATGTTCCCGCGAGACTTCAACGGAGCAACGTCTACGGTAATTTCCGGTAGCAACCCCGGACCTGGAGGTGCAAGCGGACTACCGGTTTCAGGGAGCGGCTGGCTGGTCCTGAAACAGCGCGCGCGAAACCCTGGTCCGGCAGCTCTGGGCGCCATGGACCCATTTCTGGTGCTACTGCATTCTTTGTCGACCAGCCTGTCGAGCAGCGAGCTGACTGATCTCAAATTCTTATGCCAGGGGCGCGTGGGCAAGAGGAAACTGGAGCGCATGCAAAGTGGCCTGGACCTCTTCTCTGTGCTGCTAGAGCAGAACGATCTGCATCCCCAGCGCACGGAGCTGCTGCGCGAGCTGCTGACCTCTCTGCGGCGCCACGACCTGCTGCAGCGACTAGACAACTTTGAGGCGGGGGCTACCGCCGGCGCATCGCCGGGAGAGGCAGGTGAGTGTGTGGGGGCTAGGGAGGCAGGGCCAGTTCGCCCAGCCACAGTCCACGAGACCCTACCGGGCGTCTGACCTTTGCAAGGTTCGATTTGCTTGGGTTTTCTCCAGAGAACTCGGGCGCGGGTGGCACACCTGCTTTGCAGATGGCAGAATCAAAACAAAAAAATTCACCCAAGGTTGCAGAGCCTAGACACCCACCCCCTGACCCTCAGTGTTTACTGTACCACCCCGAGGAAAATTACAAAACTCACCGAAGAAAGCGGGCTTGCTGACGTCAGGATGGACTGGAGGCCTAGGAAGTGGTCAGAGGTCAGCTGTGCCTGTTGTTGCAGTCATTTCCCTTCTGCCTCTGTGAGTGTGCCGGGCTAAGAATGCCTGTTTCCGACCTGGGAGAATTGTTCCTCCCTTAATAACTGTGACCCACGGACTTACAGAGTGACACTTACCCCGCACTTAACATATTGCTTAATGTTCACAATAGTCCTGTTAAATATTATTTATTATGGTTTAGACCTAAAGTGCTCTCCAAAAGCCTCATGTGTTCAGAGGCTTTTAAAAGGTGAGTGGATCGAAGGCATGCTATGCTCATCGGTGCATTAATCCATTGAGTTCATTGCTGAATGTGCAGTTCGGGCCTGGTTGGAGGTGGTCACTGGGGGCGTTATCTGAAAGGGTATATTCTTGTCCCAAGCCTCTCCCTTCTCTGCTTCCTGACTGCCGTGGGTAGAGTAGCTTTCCTGTGCCCTTCCACGATGCCATTTCTACCTTGGAAGCAGACAACCGTGGGTAGAGCCACTGAAACCACAGCCAAAATAAGCCTCTCTTCTTTTAAGTTGTGGGTGGCAATATTATGTCTGCTGAGGAAAGCTGACTAATGTACTCTTAGTATCCATCGTCATTCTCACCTTTCACAGGAAAGGACTGTGGCTCAGAGATGTTAATTGGCTTGCCCAAATGCACAGCAGACAACTAACAGAGCCAGAAGTAAACCAAGACAGCCTGACCTCAGGTCAGGAGGTTTTGTTGAACATCCTAATCTAAATTAAGTCTCAAATTTGAAGTGCCACAAAATTGAAAGATTTTGAGCACTGACATGATGCCACACATAAGACATTCCGTATCACGAAAGTTTGTTTCATGTACAAAGTTTTTATAGTAGTTTGTAAAGTAATCTTCAGACTGTATGTCTAAGATGTATAGGAAGCCAGGAATTTCATGTGTAGACTGGGGTCCCAAAATCCCACATTATGATTATGCAGATACTCAGAAATTGGGTAAGGAATACCCTGTGTCAGCCACAGCGCTGCCTCTTTGATGGAGTTCTTCCTACCTGATCTGTCACCCCCTCTCCACCCTACCTGTGACTTGCAGGAGTTTTGGGAGTGAAAATGAGGTCAGAGTTCAAGGTTTCTCAGTCTCACTTCCGTGTTGTCAGAGCCCCACTGAAGGAGGTTGGAAAGTACCTTGGGGATATGTGTCCCAAGTGTAATGGTTGATACATTGTGTCAACTTGAGAATGGAGAAGTGTAGAAACTTAACTAAGTGACTCAGCAGGGGGGCCAGGGTCCTCACTTTATAAACATCCTGAGGTTGTGGAAGAGAAGGTCAGGAAGATGGTGTGGGCAGATAGTAGGCATACAGTATGAGGGAGGAAAAGAGGCTTGCCTCCCCCCGCTTTGCTCTTGTTGCTTTTGCTGTCTTTTGCTACCATGAATTGTTGCCCCTCTGCCGTGCCATCCTGCCTTGAAGCCAGCTGATATGGACTGAAAACCTCTACAAACCGTGGGCTATCCTTAATTTTGGACATTGAGTATTTTGCCTGAGCATGGAGAGAAAAGTAACCAAGATGACAGGTTTCAGACAGTAGCTTGGAATTGACCCTGAAGTCACTGAACCTAGCAGGGAATAAACTGTGATACCATATAAGGATGGATGCTTATTGGTGGCAAGCTAGAAAGAGCACAGCTCTGCCTGAAGACACAGGTTCTGATACAATACTGCTGGACAGACAGAACAGGACATAAGAAAACTTTTCATGGACACTTAATGATGAGGAAATGCAGATAAATTTAAAAGACAGTGCTGATAGGAAGTTATGTATAATAACTTCTTAGACTTGTGTTTGTGTGTGTTTTTCTTCAGAGAGTTGCATAGTTCCTGGGTGTTGGAGGAAAGTACACCAGGTTGACAGTGTGTATGGGTGGATGGGGAAGAGGTGACTTCGTATTCCTGTACTGAGGCATTTCACCACCATGGTTAAAGGCAGGTTCTGGCACCAGCTTCAGCTTTTGAATCCTGGCTTTGCCATTTCCTAGCCATATGATGCTGGGGAAGTCTTAACATCCCTGTGCCTGTTTCCTTGCCAGTACCTGTGGTTATAATAACAAGAACCTCGCTCTCAGGGCTGTCGGTGCTATAGGAATTGGCACAAGTGCCAACAGTGTCCCTGATCATGTAGAAAGAGATTGAATTTTCAGGTGCTGTCCATGTAGCACCTTGTCCTGCCTCAGCTCTCCTCTCCCTGCACACATTTCCAGAACATCCTGTTCTGGTCTGCAGTGCACAGCTCTCTGATCTTAGTAGTGAACATTCAGCCGAGGAGCATAGTAACCAAACATCAAAATCTGATCGTCAAGGTAGCCAAGAATTGGATGTATACCTGTATCCTGGGACTGTCATAACAAATTACCACTAATTTGATTTAAAGCAATAAGAATGCTGGTGTGATGGCACACTCCTATAACCCCAGCACAAGGGAGGCTAAGGCAGGAGGATTGCTGCGGCAACTGCAAGGCCAGCCTGGACTACATACTGAGACCCTGTCTCAAACAAAAACAAATAAAACAAAACAAAAGCAATAGGAATGTATTCTCTCACAATCTGAAGGCCAGAAATCTGGAGAAGCAGGTCCTGCAGGGCTACACACCCTCTGAAGGTTCGGGAACCATCCTGCCTTGCCCTGTCTGGCTTCTGGGGCCCCTTCCTTGGTCTGTGGATGGACCATTCAGGTCTCAGCCACATGGCCAGCTCTGTTTTGGTTTTTGGTTTGTTTTTGCAATACTGAGGACTAAGCCCAGGATCTTCACACTGAGCTACATCCGCAGCCCTTACTATTCTGATATAAGGTCTTGCCTAGGCTGGGTTCTAACTTATGATCCTCCTGCTTCAGCTTCCCAGAGTGCTGGAATTACAGGTGTGTGCTGTAACACTTGGTTCTCTGTATACCTCGTAAAGACAGCTGTCGTTGGATTTAAGGTCCACCCAGATAATCTAGGATGATCTCTCAAGATCCTCAGTTAATTACATCTGCAAAGGTATTTTTCTAAATACATGAATGTGGAGTTGCAAGAATTTGACATGGAGATAGTTTTCAAGGACCATCACTTAACCCACTATAGAGTGGGATATAAGGGCAACCCTATTTTTTTCCCTGTCAGGACTCCCCTACTTCTAAGCAGGTAGCCCAGTATGACCCACTGAGGGGTGGGGGCTGGCTGGGACAGAATTAGAGGCCAGTTTTGGGCTTTCTGTGACAGCCTCTGACCTGCTGGCTGACTCTAGCCTCAGCACAGGACCTGCAGCCTGATCCAGGCAGTACTGAAGCCCTTGGGGGTTGGGGAACCCTGTCTCCTAAAAGTTCTGCAAACCTCCAGTAAATCATCTTGTGCTTTCCCTACCAGACCTGCGTGCAGCATTTGATGTCATCTGCGATAATGTGGGAAGAGACTGGAGAAGACTGGCCCGTCATCTTAACGTTTCTGACACCAAAATTGATGCAATCGAGGAGCGATACCCCCGCAACCTGCCAGAGCGTGTGAGGGAGTCGCTGAGGATCTGGAAGACCTTGGAGAAGGAGAATGCGACCGTGGCCCACCTGGTGCAGGTGCTCAGGGACTGCAAGATGAACCTGGTAGCCGACCTTGTGGAGGAGAAACAGCAGGCCCGGGAGTCCCAAAATGAGAGCCGAAGCATGTCCCCAATGTCATGGGACTCAGATGCGCCCTCCAGAAATGGACCTGCACAGCCCCACCACTCTTCTGGGGGACCAAGTCCACTTGGTGCTGTCCACCAAGAGCAGCCCAGTGCCTTTGGTGCCCAGCTTTTGCCGCTGCAGCCCCACCACTTCTGAATGAAAGCTGTGTCTACACAGTGTCCGTCAGGCTGGGGTTTGGGCATTGCACAGATGTCCCCATGTTTCCCTTACTGTCACCCTAGGACAGGGATTCTGTCACCTTTGCTCAGTGAGCACCTGCAGGAAGAGGTTGAAACTGATGAGCACATAGAAGGAACCTGTTGTCGCTGGTGCTTATTACTGTCACTCTGCAGGTGAGCAGGGGCAGGAGGGGGTCAGAGAGGAAAACAGCACATCTGGCTCCAGAACCCACACTTCTAACCACTGTCTTGCTGCTGCCTTCACAGCTGACCATCAGGTAGACCTGGACACCAGGATCAAGTGGGATCCTGCCTCGTAGTCAAAACACCCATATACTCTTGGTCCCCTGAGTGAGCAATGTCTCTGAGGCTGGCAAAAGGGCAGTGGTGGCTATGGGGACGGACTGAGGGGAAGCCTCAGAATTGCTCATGAGAGGCTGGTGCAGTTAGCACTCAGTAAATGAGGATGATTGCTGTGATTGTGCAATTTACCATTTTGTATCAGAATCACTGTCTGATAACAGAACCAGCAAGAGAGCAGCCCTGCTGCCAAGGCAGTCTGGTGAACAAGTACCTTTCTGCTGGAAACTGTTACATAGCGTCGCTGTTCCTTTTGAGGACACTTTGATCTTAAATCGTCTCTGGAATCGCACTACAGCAATGTCAGTCTGCCTTGCACTCATCCTGGGTGCTCACCTATGGGTAGGTGGCGGATCTCCACTACAGAGCACTGACTGCAAGCAAAGGGTGGTCGGCCAGAGGGCAGCTTTGCCCTTTTGGGATCTGCCTGTCTCTAAAAATTGTCAAAACCAAAGCCAAGCAGCTGCATTTTGTCCCAGCTCTCTAGCTGTGAGTATGAAAAAAAAACCATATGTGTCATACTGTGCTACCTTAACTGTGGATTATCAAGTCCTCAGCCAACGTCTTGGATGCACTGTCCCTCTAAACTGTGGCCTTGGCCTTTGAGCTCCCATGTGCCTTCCTGGTTACTCCCTTTCCAAAGGATGAGCAGAAGTTTGGAGCAGAGCTAGGTTCCACCCAGTCTCCCATGCCCTTGCAAGGCACCCAGCATGAAGCTTGGAGGTTCAGATGCATCCCCAGACTCAGAAGTCCTCTTCCTCCTTTGCTGGATTGTACCACTGTCTATCCCGGGATGGAGCAGAGGTGGGCCAGGTCCTGGCAGCAAAGCTGGAGGGCACAGTGATGTGGGACCATGTAACACAGGAAACCACCCCTGGAAAGGGGGACCCAGAACCAAACAGAGACATCTATTATTGGTCTCCTCAGAGAGCAGCTGCTGTCAAGATACTGCAGGTGCTGAAGCTATGGCTGAGCAGGACAGCCTGCCCTCAGGAAACTCAGGGTGTGCCCACTTCCCTAGAACAGTAGGGAAAAAGCAAAAGTGCTCACAAGACCCTAGGTGGGAAGATGATGGTGGCAAGTGTTTGATAGTGGGGATGATTTGCTAGATGATAAACTGTTTATACTTTCTGTGATGCATTTTTTGGGGGATTTTGTTGTTTGGAGACAGGGTCTTATTACATAGTTCAGGCTGGCCTTGAACTTACGGTGTAGCACAGGCTGGCTTCAAAACTCACAGCAATCCTCCTGCCTCAGTCTCCTGAGTGCTAGGACTATAGGTGTGCACCACTACACTCAGCTCATTTTTCAGTTTCCAGGAATTGCCCTGTAGATGCAGTAGTTGATACCTGGACTGTCTGGCAGGGCACCTGCACAGGGAGAAGGGGGAGCACGTGGCCTCTCAGGTCTGGCCTGGGTTTGAGTCCTGGCTGTGCTTCTAGTGGCCCCATCACCCTAAAGGGACCATCAATAAATATAGGGGCTGGGGATTTAGCTCAGCGGCACAGCGCCTGCCTGGCAAGCGCAAGGTCGTGAGTTCGATTCCCGGTACTGGAAAAAAAACAAAAAAAACCCAAAAAAACAAATAAATATTAAGAGTGTGAGCTTCATTCTCAGGGACCTTAAAAATAAGCAACAAAGCTGATTATGGTGGCACAGGTCTGTAATCCCAGTACTCTGGGAGGCTGAGGCTGGAGGATTAAAAGTTCTAGCCCCCTGGGCCACTTAGCAGCATAATGAGACTTGTCTCAAAATAAAAAGGAGGGGGGCAGGTAGCTCAGAGCAAAGGCCCTGGGTTGGCTCTCCAGTTCCAGAAAAAAAGAGAAGAAAACAAAGCAGGACTTTACCCAGAGCCCCAGGGAACAGTCCAGAGGTCATTTCACTCAGAACAGAGGAGCCCACCATCAGCTCTGACCCTGGGATGTCGCCCTCTGCCCCTCTGGTTGCTGGAGTTGGGGATGGTGCAGCACCTCTCAAGGAAAGGCACTCGATCTTCCTAACCTCCCATGGGACAGATGTGCTCAATGTCCAATCAGTACCGTGATCTAGAAGACAGGTTCTGATACATCCTGCTCAGAAGGGAGCTGTTGTGTTTGAAGAGGGTTTCTTAAAGCAACTTTACCAGAAAAGAAGGAAAAATCACATTCCTCTTTTTGCAGCCATGTACATACAACCTGTGATTCTGAAAAAGGTGCACTCAAGTCATAGGGTTTGCCTAACAGCACAAGTGAATAGCTGCATCTTGCTGACCTATGTCCAGATGTCTATGTTTTGCAGGGGGTTCGAGGCCTCTGCATGGGTTTGCCCTGGACCAAAGGCTCCAGCCCTCCTTTTTTCCAGCTGCTTTCTCCCCACCTTCCTGTATGAAGTGGCCTCCACACACCATGGCAGCCCTGCTTTCCCAGCTCCACCGCACACGGGTGCTTCTTTCACCCCTCTCCAGCAGTCACCCCCCAGACTCCTTGACTCCCTGCAAGCATGCTACACCATAGTCTCCCCTTGCTGGAGTTGCAGATTGCCACAGCTACTGCGCACTTTCACTTTGAGACGTTGCTTTTGACTACTCTTGCCATGAACAACTCTTGTGCCTCCTCCCAGATGCCATGCCCTGGTCTCATCTCACCAGGGAGCACAGACCCCTCATGGCCTCTCCTGTCCCAGATCCTGGAACCTGCTGCATCTCTCTAGCCACCTTCTTTTCTGGAGGTCCTGCACCCTTAGTCCTTGTATGAGTCTCCTTTGGCTGCTATAACAAATCACTGCTGGTTTACTGGCTTAACTCACGTTTTTCTTAAGGTTCAAAAGGTCAGGAATCCAAAGTGGATCTCCCAGGGTTCAAGTGAGGTGTGAGCAGGGCTGGCTCCTTGCCTCGGCAGCAACTCTGGCAGCTTGTGCTCATCTGAGCTTCCAGCTCGAAGCCTTCCCACTCCTGTCCCTTCCTGTCTCCCTCCCTCTCCCAGTGGCTTCTGAGTGACCCAGGATCATCTTCCCATCACAACGTCCTTCATTTAACCACTGTGTGACATTCCTTTTGCAGTGTCAGAGAGCATACGGATCCTGGGGATTAGGACGTGGACATTGGGCCTGGTGCTTCCCTGGATGCTCACTCATCTGCCAGCTGGGCTAGCCTCCTGTCCCTTGGGCTCACTCCCCTACAGCAGAACCAGGTCCAGAACCCAGCGCCTCATAATCCTTTCTCTTGGCCACCTTCTATTCTGCGCTATGTTGCTACCCTCGTTCCCAGCACAGCCAGCCCCTGCTCTGGACCAGAGCAAAATGACCTAACATCACCCACCACTACTCTTGTCCTGGCCCAGCTCAGCCCAGCCCCCACCAGCAGCCCTAACCACAGACCCCTGCCTCTCTCTGGAGAAGCCACAAGCTCTCTGTGGACAGTTCTAGTTTCTTTTTTTTTCCATAACTAATCTGAGTCATCTAGCTGACTGCTTTCTGACCACACACTCCCAGTGTGGATGGAGTTTGGAACCAGATGGCGAATGTGACTCGAGGCTGCTTATGTTCATGCCAAAGTGGCCAGTCACCCTGGCTTGTCTCTCAGGGAAAATTTGCAAGAGAAAGGCATTTTCACCAAAGTAGCCCTTAGTCTCTTGAATCATGCACTAGGTGGAGATGCTGTGGTAAGAACCATGTACACCCTGTGGATTGTCACCAGGGGACAGGGTGATTCAAGGAAGGAATGGGGTCCTCACTGAGCAAGACCTCAGTGGTGAGGTAGAAGAAATAGGTAGAAAGCAGACAAGGAGAATTGTAACTTTAAAATTGTACTTTTAAGAAGACTGCTTAAAAGTTACCCAGTGTTATCCGTATCTTTATTCCATACATTACACCCTGAGCTTGTTCATATTCAGACTGGCTTTTTCTTCCAAGGATGAATTCAGGCTTTTTCTTCCAAGCCCATCACAGCTAAATCCTTTAAAGACACTGTAAACCCAATGTGTGCACTTGAATGGATTACGAAATACCTAAGGCAGTAATAAAGCACAGTTACCAGTGTGTCTAGCTGGCTTGTGGAGGCATGAGCTTGGGTACTGTGTATGGTCTCTTGCCCGCTCCTCTCACTGTTCTCTACTTCCTGGCCACTGGGAAATAACTTTGTTTTAACATGTCCTTCTGCCGTGATCTTTCTGCCTTAGAACCAGCTAATCATGGACTGAATTTCTAGCAACCGTGAGAAGGTTAAACTCCCCTCCTCTAACTTGTGGGTGTCAGATAGTATGTCTCTGGCGGGAAAGCTGACTAATACAAAGTCCGTTAATTAGCTTAGTTGATAAGGGAAAGAGCCAGGTACATACCTGTAGCTCAATACTCAGGAGGCTGGCTAAAGCAGGAGAATTGCCTCCAGCTTGAGTCTACCTTAGGCTACATAGCAAGACCCTTTCTCAAAAAAAAAAGTGGCAACCTCAAAAGTGTTAGAACATCTTAGATCACCTATCTTAAAGGACTCCTCTAAAAACATATATTCCCAACCACAGACCATAATGTGCCTCCGGAGAGCCCACCCTCTTTTGTGCACTGTGATTCTGCCTAATAAATCCTTTTGTGTCCCTCTCTAACACGTCCTGAAAATGTTTTCTGTGACAACGATAAAGAAACTACCCAGCAGGCTGAGTTAAGAGCCCGTCTCCTTTAGGGGACCTCAAACCCCGTCAGGTGACAATATGAATGAAGTTGTGGCTGAAGTAGAGCAATGTGGTAGCCATTTGTGCCACCCCACACTGGCATCACCAGGACACCTGAGCTCCTGACAGTGGCAGAGATGAGGCTATGATTTCATACAAGTTCACATGCAGTATTCAAGGAGGACAGAGCAGTTCACGACAGAGCACTCGAGGTGGACAGTGGTGATGGCAGCACAGCGGGAATGTGCCTCGTGCCCCCGAGCTACATGCTGGACAGCGGTTAGAAGGGAAAATTTCATGTTATGTATATTTTTTCACAGTTAAACCATCATACCTCCTTGTTAGAGATGCATTACTTGCATTGTTAGTTTAAACTGTCTTGTTGGCATCCCTCCCCTAATTTGCAATTTTATGGGTAGGTAATTTAGACATCATAAAGACTGGAAGCATAAGCTTGTATCCTTTAGTTTTTATTCATTGAAAATAAAAACGTAGTGATCACTGACAGCCTAGGGCAGTGTCAGTCCTTGCAAAGGGGCATCTGGCTCCCCAGAACTGTCCTCCTGGGATGAGGCCCTAGTCCTAGCATCACCACACAGAGCAGCACACACAAACGTGTACCAGCACAGCCCTGTGCCTCTTGTCCCCATGAGAGGGCTCCTGTCTAAACCTCAGCAGCCTCTGCCTGTTTTCCCCACACCCTTCCCAGTATCCACCCAGGTTCAGGGTCCTCAGACCTAGCCACAATGCCCCAGTGGCAGCCTGCCCACCTGCCCCTGCAGACCCCTACACACTTCTTGCTGCTGCCCTGCTTGGGTCCCTGAGGGCTGGTGCAACACTTGGCAGCAGCTTCTGAGTAGAGACTTAACTCACAGCCATATCTCACTACTCCATTGTTTTGAAACTCATTAAGTTTGGTATTTGATGCATTTTGACACAAAAATGTTATGCCAGTACTTGTCATTAGTTTGGTACTCAATGAGCAAGCTAGAACTTGTCAGTATTCATTATCTCATAAGTTACTACCTTTTCCAGCCAAAACTTTGGTGCTCATTGGTTTTGGTACTTGTCACACCTCTCAGAAATAATTAATGGCAAGTATTGAGGTACCACTGTACTGTTTTCAAGTGAAGGAAGTACCAGGAAATACCAGGAAGGGAAAAGGCCCAGAATACCCCAGGCCTGAGCCCCCTGGGACAGGAAAAGCTTGTGATTCTGAGGCTTCCTGTTCCATCCAGGAGAGCCTGCCCAGGAGTGCCCTGGCAGGGCGGGGTTGTCCTCAAAAGTGTGCCCCCCTTGTCTATTCCCCAGGCCCAGGACTGGTCGTTCATGCTGCCCAGTCCTATGGGGTCAGCCAGAAACCCCAGGGAGGGTGCTCCTGCACCTGAGTTGCTGCAGGCCGCCTCAGGGTCCCAGTCTGCAGGCAGGTTGATGCCCACGTGCACACCTGTGTGTGCCAGCGCTTTGTTCACTGCTTCCCTTGGTCAGCAACTTCACAAGGGTTGCCAGCTCGGGCTGTCCACCTGGCCCTTTACCAAGGACCCCACCCTCTAGGATTGCTGTGGGGTTCAGTGAGCTGAAGTGTGGAGGGGCTTGGGGTGAGGTCATGGTCAGGTCTCTGTGTGCCACTTTCAGGGCTGCCCTGATGGCTGGACATGATACTAGGATCATGGCTTTGTTCCCAGGGGCTTTGGCAGCATCAGTGACAGCTCTTGACCTAGGGGCATCCCACTGCCCTCACTTCTCTGTTTTGTTTTGGTTTTTTATTTTGTTTTTTTCTGGTACCGGGTATCGAACTCATGACCTTGCGCATGCCAGGCAGGCGCTGTGCCTCTGGGCTAATTCCCCAGCCCCTGCCCTCACTTCTCTGACCACTGAGTCGACGGGGATTTATAAAAGAGCACCGGGAAAAGGAATCAACCCTTTGTCATACAGCTTCATTGATATCTGTAGTCCAGACCATAAACCAAGGGCTGTAGGAAGCAAGCAAGACTTTTTCTCTTCTATCTCAGCACAGATCAGGGCTCACACAAATGTGTGGTTACAACTTCGGGTAGGGACACGGCGCCACTTGGGAGACCTGGCCACAGCTGGGGGCAGACATGTTCCTCCATGAGAAGTATCTGTGCTGAGAGAGAGTGGGCACCGTTAGGGGTTGGGTAGGGAGGGGAGGAAGCGCTTTTTCCACTGGGGAGCTGCTTATGCCCATCCCAGAGCATGGAAGAGCAGGACCCACTAGAGGAATGAGGGGCCCTGGTGACCTAATGGAGACGGCAGGGCAGGGCTGGCACAGCTGGAGGGCATAGGGCTCATTGGTCCAACTAAGTGTGGGAAGGGCACCTGTCTAGCTTCTAGTGCCCCTTCCCTGGCTCAGACAGTCCATTGGGAGCTCTGGCTGAGTGGAGGCTCTCACTGCCTCTCTTGCAGCCGGTACCAGCCTCAGGACCCAGGCAGAGTCAAACACTGGTGATCAAACAAACTCATGTCACGGGCTGGCAGCAGAGATGTCACAGTGGCCTTTGGTGGTCAGCCTCCATGACAGTGGCAGCACTGAGCTCACCTAGACCAGGTCCCAGTGCTCATCCTACCCATCGCTGCGCGCTGTCCACTGCCCGCCCATAGCTGCTGCTTGGCAGCCAGCACCCGCCAGCAGTCTGGTTCTGTCGCAAGAGCCAAGAGAGGGCGCTAAAGGGCCCAGGTGGGCAGATGGGATTTATGTTCCAAGTCCCCCGGGGCTGGAGGGTTGGAGGAGCAAGAGGGGCCACCAGGAGGGGGTGGCTGGCATGTCCCAGGCAGGGCTAAGGGTAGGAGGGGGCCTGGGTAGTGTGCGGTACCAGACAAGAATTAGGGAATGGATCCAGGAGCCTCTTGGAGCTTGGCGTGGGTGTGGGACATGGAGGGGTGTTCCAGGAAGAGGACAGTGGCCTGGGGAGGGGTGCTGGTCCTGAGAAGGGGACACAGGCTGTGGCATGTGGAGTGTGGTGTGAGCAGGTGGGGCCAGGCCATGGCAGGAGTGGACACTAAGTCTGTGGACACAGAACCAGAGACTCCAGCATCAGGGCTGAGCAGAGACAGCACCACAGGAGCTGAACCTACACCAGCCCCACCCCCGGGACAACCCCTGGTCTAAAGCACAAGAGGAAGAACCTGGAAGATGTCCAGCCCCGCCTCCAGAGTCTGAGTCAGTTGGGGGTGGAGCCTGAGAGCTAACCCCTCAAGGCCCCCCTGTTGCTGGGGCAGGAGGGCTGCTGGTTTCATCACCCACAGCCAAGTCCTATTGCTAATTGTCCTGGTCTATCTCGCCTGCCCTACCAAACCACCAGGACAGGCTGGGGCTGTCTTAACTCACTTTGTTTTTTGTTTTTGTTTTTTTTTTTTTTTTTTTTTTTCCGGTACCAGGAATCAAACTCACGACCTTGCGCTTGCCAGGCAGGCGCTGTGCCACTGAGCTAAATCCCCAGCCCCACTTAACTCACTTTGGATCCCAGATGCGGGCAGAGGTGCTCATTACAACCAGGTCCACAGAGGTGGCCTTGACCCTCCACGGCCATGCAGGCTCAGTCTCCTGGATAACAACTATCACCCCATCCGGCGGCACAGGGTGGGCCCCTGGGCTCCAGGTGAGCCAAATGCCAGGAGGGCTGAGCCCTGGATTTTCAACCTGCCCTTCCCTGGGGAGCTGTGATGTGAGCAGAGGCCAGGGGTGCGTGTGTGTTTTTTATTGTGTCCTTGCATTCATCTGGGAGGCTCCATCGTCCAATTTGCTAAACAAATTGGCCTCATTCCTGGCGGTTTCCCTGCCCATCCTGGGATCACACGGCCTAAGACCTGCAGCCTGCTCTAGGGTCCTGGTACTTAACCTCTGTGTCCCCAGCATTCACCCTGTATCCCCTGAACACCCTGAGTACCTCATAGCTGGGCCTGCAGTCCTGACCTGATGGATGTGACCCCTGAGCAGAGAGGCTGTGTCTTTGCTTACTAAGCCCCTTTGTGTACTGCCATTGAATCCCTACCTTCGATCTGCTACAAGCAGAACCAGGAATGCTTCTGCCATCTGCTTCCTGCTGTGCTGGGACAGGGCAAGGGTAGAGAAAGCTGTAAGCCGTATGGGTGTTAATTAATGTTTGGACCTATTGGGGTTTTTTGTTTTATTTTGTTTTGTTTTGTTTGAGACAGGGTCTCACTATGCAATTCAGGCTGGCCTGAAGTCATAGTGACCCTCCTGCCTCAGCCTATGAAGTGCTGGGACTGTAGGCATGCACCACCATACTTAGCTCTGGACCCATTGTTATATGCAGAAAATCTGCTTTAGGCACTAGGAGGGAAAGGACTTGGGGATAAAACCTGGTTCCTGATCCTAAGAAGTTCCAAGTCTAATGGGAGAGAAAACAGGGAAATAACTACAGGGAAAAAGACAGTCTTGAGAGCTGAAGGGACTTGTCAAGTCATTTAGGTGGAGTCCCTAGTTCCAAGGCCCATACAATCTCCAGGACACCAAACTGCCTTTTCATAGAGGCCATTTGCGTTGGATTTTGTAGAAGTAGGAGCTCTCCAGATGGCAAGCAGCTCAGGCACAGAAAACAGCAAGTAGAAAGGGAAAGGGACCTCAGAAGGCAGCAAGCAGTTTAGTGGGGCTGGTTCCAGGCAGATACTGGAAGCTGAGGGTAAAGTAAGAGTTTAGATTTTATCTTTTAGACAAAAATGAGCCAGTAAAGTATTTGAAATAGGGCAATGACAAGATTAAACATGTCACACTTTACTAGAGATCTGATATGTTTGTTCATCAGAAAATTGAGAAAACTTCGCAGGACATGGTGGCGCATGCCTGTAATTCTAGCACTGTGGAGGCTGAGGCAGGTAGATTACCATGAGTTTGAGGCCAACCTGGGCTACTTAGTGAGTTCAAGTCCAACCATGCACTACACAGCAAGACCCCATCTCAAAAGAAAATACAACAAAAAGAAAAAAAAAAACAAAGAAAGAGAAAGGGAAAGGAAAGAAAAAAGAAAAGAAAAAAGAAGAGAAAAGAAAAGAAAAGCAAGAAAAAAAAAAACAACTAGGTTTCTCAGGGTCATGCTCCAACCTTCTGGCTGCTCACAGTGGGAAATACACATTACCATTTGGGGAGGTTGTGGTGTGATAATGACAGCTATATAGGAGCTTGGTTCTTGCTTTTTCCTGTGTCCTTTGAGGGTGTCTTGTGTGGGTCTCACAGGACCCTCGAACTGTAATTAAAGCAAGTTCAGTTTCCCCCATCTGATGAGTAAGGAGATGGGGTTCTAGAGGGCTTGGAGATCAGTACAGGGGTTGCCCCATGGGAAGTGGGGGACAGGTCACCTGGACCTTCCTCAGCCCCATCCAGCCAGACTCACCCACAGAACCAGACAGACACAGCAGGCCCAGAACATGGCACACGTTGGAGAGAGGGACAAAGTCCACCCCAGGCCATGGTCACAGGCAGCTACCTGTCCCGGGGAAGCTGCCCAGTGGGCATCCCCAGGCAGCCTGTGAGTACCCAGGCATCTTTGCACTATGCAGGAGAAGCCTGGAGAGCTAAAATAAGGCGTGTTTGTTCCAGGAATACCCTGCTGAAAGCGCCAGTCCACACTGGAAATAAACGTGTCTGCAGTCTGGCACTGGGGGAGTCAGGACCCCCACACTCTCACTTTGGGAAAATCAAACTTTCCCACCATGGACTTCCTGGTGGTTCCCCAGTACATTATGCTGGACAAAGTTTGGATGCAGAGGCAGGAGGAGACCTCTCTCCCCATCCGCCAGCTTGTTTTTGCATTTATTCACTCATTCATGCCCAGAGCAGGGCACAGCACCCTCAGTCCAACTCTGCTGCTCTGTTGACAGCCCTGAGAGCTCATGGAGCAGAATGGCCTCCTACCTATAGAACGGATGGACCGGGCTATGACCGCACAGGGCTGTGACCACACAGTGCAGATGTAGTCAGGACCAGGCTGCCTGAGCCCACAGCTGGGGGATCCCTGGATGCACAGGTCCTGTCTCATATAAGGTCTCACTGCGTGTATAGCTCAGTGGACACATGCATTCTTTTCCCTCCAGTAACCCCCTTGTCACCACCTGCCTGTCTGCCACCATCCTCATTCCTCCTAAACCCCTACGCAGACCCCCAGATGCCAGGTGGCACCCAGGGCTCTGTGTAATCCAGGCAAGTGCTCTGCCTCTGAGCCACACCCCCAACCCTTATAGAAGAAGCTATGTGCCTACCACAAAAGGAACGAAGTCTGTGCAGAAACGGTGAGTGTCCCAGTATCTGTCATCCCTTTGGGCTCTACATGAGATTCCTGGTTTTAAACTCTGCAGCACGTAGTGGCCCAGAATCAAGGCTGTTTTCCCCAACTTTCTTGCTGTAAGGTTTGACAATGTGACTAAGTTCTATGAGTGACCAGAAGTATGTGGAACCTCGAGAAGGAACCTTAAAGGGAGGAAGGTGTGCTCTTTGACATCTTTTCCTTCCTTCGTTCCTTCTTTCCTTCTTTCCTTCATTCCTGCCTGCCTGCCTTCCCCCTGGAATACAAGCATGATGGTGGGAACACAGGCAACTACATATATAATAAGATCATGAGAAGGCACAGCAGAAAGAAGGCTCTTGGTACTGATGACTGTGGAGCTGTTTGCCATCCCTGGAAGGCTAAGTCAGGACTGATCAGAGTCAGAGAAAAAAACTTCTCTTACTAATGATATTGTGATGTGGGCTTTTAGACACTTGCCACAAAGATAACCCCAGACTCACTTGCAGGAAGCATAAAGGAACGGTGGTCGTTGTGAAAATGCAGAATCCAAAGCTGCTCGTGGCTTTGGCTGCCCTTCAAGGCTCTGGACGTGAGAACCGCTTGCAGGAAGACCATCGACAGGCATCATCATCCTGACATGGAGTCTTCCCAGTCTGTCCTGCAGGACTGGCTGGGAACTGAAAGGGAAAGATGTTCTCACCGGTGACTCACTGCTCCTAAGTGCCAAGTCCCCCGCCTTGCTGCTACCTGTCGTCACCAGCTGCACACAGCACCTGCTGCGAGCTCGGCCCTCCAGGGAGTCATGAGCCCCTTCACAGTCTGCTGCGCCCTCCTCTTCTGGCCTGGCACCCCTCCACCCTCTCTCCCTGAGCCCATAATGAGCTCCTGGTGTCACCAGCAGATGACTTTTTTCACCTCTCTATGCCTTCACAAATGCTTCCCACCCTCCAGCATCCCATACCTCCTCATCAGCTGGTCTCCACTCAAAGAAAACATAGGTCTAAGCCTGGTATGGTGGTGCACACCTGTTATCACAGCTACTTAGGAAGCTGAGGCAGGAGGATTGCAAGTTCAAGGCCTGTCTAGGCAACTTATTGAGAACTTGCTTCCAAATAAAAAGTGAAAAGGGGCTGGGGATAGAGCTTACTGCTTTCTGGGTTTGATCCCTGGTACCGAAGGCATGGATTCATCATTTTATAGACATCTGTGGAGCACCCACTGTTGTGGTTAACTGCCAGAGCCTGCCCCTGGCCGGCTGGGCCCTATGGGCAGATTACCCAGCTTCCCTGCTGCCTCAGTCCTTCTCATCTGTAAAATGGTAGCGACCATCCTCAAGGGAATTCATGAATATTAGCAAAGTCATGCACAACAAGTGCTCCAGCACCCATGAAGCCCTGGAGACATGTCAGTTGTTGTTGTCACAGGTCAGGCGAGGGGTCTCCACCTATGAACCAGGCTATCCAGGATTCTGCTTCCATGGGAGAGGAATAAAAAAAAATATGCTAATAAACTTTTGACAAATTGTAAAACCAAGTCAATGGAAGAAGGACGGCTTTTCAACAAAGGATGCTGGAGCAATTAGACATCCCTAGGCCAAAAGAAAAAAATGAAGCTCAACCTATACTTACTTAAAAAAAAAATCAACCTAGGGCTGAGGATGTAGCTCAATGGTAAAGTACTTGCCTAGTACGCATGAGGCCTTGGGTTTGAACCTTAATGTCACACACACACACACACACACACACACACACACACACACAAAACTGAAGTTTAATTAAGCCAGGTATGGTGGTGGTGTACTCTTGTAATCCCGGCCCTCTGGGCAGCTGAGGCAGGAGGATTGCAAGTTTGAGCCTAGCCTGGGCAACTTATTAACAGCCTCTCTCAAAATAAAAAATAAAATAAAATAGTGCAAAGGAAAGGAAGGGCAGGGCAGGGCAGGTTAGGAGAGGGCAGGGCAGTGTGTCTTTACTGTTCACTTCATCCTGCGGATTGATGGTATATCCCGTTTTACAGAGGGAAGACAGGCTCAGAGCATCAAGGACCTTTGCTCTGGCTCACAAAGCTATTTAGTGGTACAGTGCAAACCAAGAGCTAGAACATCTAAGTTGTGACACTCTGCCTGCCTCTGACAAACCCACTCCCGGCTTCCTTGGAGTCCCTGTGGGACTCAGAACCAGGCTTGGCCACGGATGCTGTGAGTCTGCAGGAGGAGGAGGGGGAGAAGATGGGGGAGCACAGGGAAAGCTCCACAGCCCCGTACAGCCGAGTCTCTGCCTGCAGCGCAGAGCCGGGGCCCACCTGGCCAGCTGCGTGGGCAGGAGGGGGCGTTCCTTTCAGGAGCCAGGAGGTGACCAAGGAACTCTGGGGAGGATGCGCAGGGAGGGTGTGGTCCAGAGACCCAGCCTCAAGATCATGTTTGGCTCATTTCTCTGTAATACATGGTTTTCGTTCCTCCCTGGAGAGTCAGCTTCCCCAGAATCTCGCCCTGGCCTCCTGCCTTCCAAGCTCCAAAAAATGTGCCCTTTTGTGCCACAACATCTCTTAGCGTCCCCCTTTGCAGCCCAGCAGTGTCTCCTCCCTAGCTTAGCGTTCCAGGCTTCCATGCCAACTTCAGCCTCAGCCCTCTTCCTGCCTGGTACAAGCCCTCTGCCAGAGCAATTCCTCGCCCACTGGCCTTAGGACACCCTGTGACTTTCCTGCCTCTGGACCTTTGCCTGTGACCATCCCCCATACTATGAGATACCCTCCTCACCCCATTTTTCCTACTGTGCTCAGAGGGCAAGTGTGGAGTTGAATGAATCTGGCTTCAAATCCTGACTTTGCTCCCTTGAATCTCTCTGTGCTTGGGTTTCTTTATGTGTAAAATGCCATTTAATTCAGTCCATTTTCACAGAGCTGTGTCTACAACAATCCAGGGATGCACAGTGTAAAGTCTGCTCTAACTTTTAAAATGTGGTACCATTTATGAAGGCAACTTATTTTTAAACTTAAGGTAATAACTGGCAATGAAAGGAGACTTGGGGAGGGGGAAATAGCTCACTCTAAGCCATGAGGATGAAGGGTCAGGTCTGGTGCCCCACAAAGAGGAAGTGCCCTTAAACTTTACCCTCTTTTACAGTACTGTCCTCTCAGCTCCTCTAAAGGCCTCTTCCAGTTAAACCTGGCCCCACCTACTCTAGAGTGTTATGATACATTTGCTGGTATTATTTCATCCTCTCAATTTGTCTACTACCTACCACCTACCCAAGTACCCACACACCCACTTATCTACGCATGCATTCTTCTTATATTCATTCACCCACCTACCCAACTATTCATCCACCCATCTATCCACCCCTCATCCACACATTTGTTATCTATCTGTCTATCTATCCATTCATCCCTCTATCTACCCATCTTCTCTTCCCTAACCCTCCATTCATCCATCCCATCCATCCATCCCATCCATCCATCCCATCCATCCATCCATCCCTCCTTCCATCTATCCATCCATCCCCTCACCCATTTACATACCCATCCATTCATTCATCCCTAATCCATCCTTCTATCTATCCATCCATTCACTCACCCGTCCATCTATCCATCTTCCATCCCTCCATCACCCGCACCCTCCTCCCCTCATCGGGTGCCTGCTGCACGCTACCATTGTACCCAGATCCTCTGCCAGGTGTAGGAAACAATGATTAGACAGTGTTGATCCTTCCTCTCATGGAGTTTACTTGTAGATGAAGGGGGAAGAACTGCCATCTGTTACAGTTTAGATCTGAAAAGTCTCCAGAGCTCACATGCTAAAGTCTTGGTTGCCATCTGATGGGCTTTTTGGATGTGACTGGATCATGAGGCTCTAACTTCATCAGTGGATTAATCCATCAGTGAGATCAAAACCTGGTGGCATTATTGGGCTGGAAATAGGAGGTTGAGACCTAGTTAAAGGGTATGGATCATGGGGGTGTGGCCTTGGGGACTATCTTGTCCCTCGCCCCTTCATCTCTGACTCTTTCCCCTGCTCTCTGCTTCCCAGCTGCCAGGCAGTATTCCTCTGCCTTCCACCATGACATCTGGCCTCACTTTGGTCTAGAACAAGTGTCAGCCCACCATGTACAGAAATCTCTGAACCAGAGAGCCAGAGTAAACCTCTCCTCCTCTAAGTTGTTTTCCTCAGGTATTTGGTCACAGTGACTAACAGCTAACGAACACACCATCCAAAAGTGTTCACTGCACAGCACTTCACCTCCAAGCAATTGTATGCAGAGCAGGGGCTGCACAGGGCAGGTGTGCAGGACACACTGAGTCCCACAGATGGAGCAGGCAGATGCAGGTGGAAGACAGAATGCTCGCTGTGGATGGAGGGCAGGAAGGGAGACAGTAGGTGGAAAGGGGGAGGATAGCTGGTGCAACGAGTGTGGTTTTTTGTTGGTTTGGCTTGGGGTTTTTTGACACAGCATCTTGGTTCAAGCTGGCCTTGAACTGACTGTGTAGCTAGGCTGGCTGAAAACTCGTTACAAAAAGTCCTCCTGCCTCAGCCTCTTGAGTGCTGAGAGTACAAGTGTCCTCCACCATGCCCCAGCAAGTGTGATGTTGAGAGTAGTAAGGGGCTGGAGAGATGATGTGGGACCTTGCAGGTCACGGAAGGAATTTGAACTTTGTCCCAAGATGTGGCTAATAGAAGCTCATTGACATCTAAGTGTTACCTGCTACTTCAGGACAGGATGTGACCACCCAGGGAGAGCAGGAGAGGAGAGCACGGCTTCGGATGGGGCCCTCAGCATCCCAGTGTTTAAGGGATCGCAGAGGTGAAGAACCCCAAAAGGGAGCTACAGAGTTTGATCACAGTTCTAATGGGGAAAAGCGTGGGAGTCATCCGGGTCATGTGTGGATGTCAAGTGAGAGGATTCCATAATCAGCTGGCCAGGGACTTTGAGAGAGCCATGCTGGGGCCTGCTGGGGACAAGCCAGCCTGCCCGGATTGTTTTTATATTTCAGACACCACATGCAGACTTCCTGAAGGCAAGTGCCATAAGCGCCCTTCTTCTGTGTTCTTTTGCTGATGTCACTTTCTCCTGACAGCCACTACACCCTCCAGACCAGGGAGGGCCTGAGTTTGCCCACTGTGACCCTCGGGGGGTCCTATAGGACACGTGACCTCCCATGAACATCTGTACTCGAGGCCCGGTAGCCCACATATATCTGCCCACCAAGAGCTCCATTTGCACCCAGAAAAGTCCCATATAATGAAGGAAGGAGCCGATTCCAGACGGCAGCTCTGTCCCCTTCCTGTGTGCCAGGACTGTGTACTTGCTCATGGAACCCCACAGCCACTTTCAGGTAAGTACTAAGTACTGTGCGTGGACTACTGTCACCCCTACATGGCAGATGAGGAAACCAAGGCCCGGAGAGGTGCAGGAAGTGAGGACCCAGGATCCACACCTCACATTTGTTCCCAGAGACCATGGTGCCTTACAGAGAACCAAGCTTCCGACTGACCACTGATCCTTGCTTGTATCAAAAGAGCTCCAGTATAGGCCAGGTTGGTTTTGGGCTATGCCTACAGCTTTGCTCCTGGGTTCCCTGTGGTTGTCCTTGGTGTGGTTTCACGTGAGGCCAGCTGTCCGCGCTACCCTTTGCTTCCGGAGGCCAAGTGAGGACGGGAGGCCCGAGCACTGTAGGCTAGAGAAGTAGGAGGAGCTCTGTCCTCAGAACGGAGGCTGGTGGTTCTTGAGCAGGGGTGCGACTGTCCCCCAGCAAGCACCCCCTGACCAGACCCCCCAGGGCAGCCTGGTCATCTCCTCTTGTTGCTGCCTTTGTGTCCAAAAGCCCTGGAGAGACTATGCCGGGCCTTTCCTCCCTCGCCTACCTGTAGTGGGCAGGCTTTCTGCTTTTTCTCTCCCAGTTTTTATTAGAGGCCTTCATTCCCTTTCTCACGAGTGAGGAGTGACGGAAGCCTATTATCCCTGGGCAGGCTCCTGCGGGCCCGTGGGTGGGGCCCCCACACAGCGGAGCCTGGGCTGCCGAAACTGGTAGGGAGGGGCCAGCCTGGGGCATGGGAAAGGGGGGAAGGAGGGAGCCTCATAGGTCCTGTGATAGATCGGGTAGATCGCCCACACTGTTGAGCTGGGGAGTCGCTGCCCCACGGCACAGCCAGGGGGACTTCTCTGCGTCCTCTGGGTCCCAGAGGCCCCAGGCTGCTTTGAGGAGAAGGGCACAGGAGGAAGAGCAAGCTTCCTTCTTCCCTCTGGCAGCAGAGCAACCCTGAGCTTCTCCAAATCCCTGGGAAGCAAGGAAGGAGTCTCCCAGCCTTTGTGCTTGATCTCCCAAAGCCCTGCTCACGGGTCTCCCTCTCACTGGTCCTCACTGTCTCGCCTTCACAGTGGTTTCTTCCGGGAAGACCGCCCTGCTCCCTGACCTGAGCCGGTGCCCCACACCCAAGCTCCTCAATGCCCACCATCTCCTTTTCTGTCTCCCCATGGAACTCAGCATCTTTAAAGGCTGAAACTGTGTCTCCTGGTCACCCTGTGTCCCTGCCCCTGGGCCTCGCAGGACACTGCAGTGATTGGGACAGGAGCTGACCTGGTTATCTCTTTCCCCTTCACCTCTATAACCAAGCTCGCA